TCCCTCTGATATTACACCCTCCATCCAACTTCACTCCCCTCGCCTCGCTACTGTCGGCTCGGCCCCTCCTCCCTCACCCCTAGCCCTTTACTCCCGCCCCGCCCCCTCGCCCTTTGCCGCCCTCTGGCTGTGACCCTGGCCCCGCGGATGCGGCCTGGGGCCCTGCGGCCCTGCGCAGGTCGTGTACGATCATCAGCACAACTGTGTGCTGTTGTATATTAATGCCCCTCTCCGCTCCCGGCCATGCATTACTCTTGAATGTTTGGTATATATTAAAACTACGTCTCATATTTCATTCCATATTCAATAACTTGTGCTACATTCGGCTCTCTAGGGAGATTTATAGATGCAGAGAATTGCATGTCCTTGGTGTATTGGTTTCTCCGTGTATCCCGTATTGAGCTTCGAACAGAGAAAGCTCAGCTTTGCTCGTAATTCGGAAACGGATACGATGAATTAATTAGGACTTTAACCGTAGCCCAACAGCACAGAAAACAAGTCACAAAAGCTCGTTCCATGCTTGAGTTAAGCTCTCAGACTTAAGCTCTACAAAGCTTTCAGTGGACATTCGACACTAGCTGGACAGTCATCTCTGCAATCCTAAAACAGGGTAACAGAATTTGGTTTTACCCTAGCTAAACCAAGGTACAAAGGGTTTCTTCTTCCAAGGGAGAAGGGGCCTCTTATGCACATCATTTGAATTTTGAGTTTTTGGTGTTTCTTACGATTTTGATAAATTAATAAACTCGTATAACTAATGATATATAGATATACCCAACGCCTGTGATAACATGGATCATAGAAAAAAATGATACACAATGCAATACGCATAATTTTTCCGCACGTTCCAAATTACTCATATATATTATTAAAATAGTCTGTTATCAAAGAAAAAACACGGCAAACGTAGTTTTTTCACTATGACAACTATTGAAGCTCTAATGCATGAGGTGTTATTTTTTGTGGAAATGACAAAAAATTTTCCTAGGCACACTACCAGACGTGTGGGTGACGGGAGTCTTCATCTAATAACCATTGCTGGCATTTCCTCCATGCTTGCTCTTCTGCAACTCGTCTCTTTCGCGAGGCGCGTCGGGTCGGGTGGGGTCGCCGTACCTTATTCCTCGCTAATGTGCTTTCCGTGTCGCCTCGCAGTCTTCTGTCCCTCGTCCCTGCGGCGTCTCTCGGATACCTGGCACGGCGACGTGGTGCCTCACGATTCCACCGATGGCATCCCACAGCCTGTCCGTCGCTCCGCCCCCATGTCGCCTACCTGCCGCCAACCAAGCACCCCCATCTCCTCGCCTCCCTGTCTTCCCGTTGTCACCCCGCTGGCTCCCCCGTCATCCACTACAGTTCCCCGACTACCCCCGTGGCCCCAGTGGCTCCCCTCACCCCCGTCGCCAACCCCCGTCGCCAACCCCCGTCGCCAACCCCCGTCGCTTGCCGAGCAAATTTCCCTCCGCATTATCGCATTTTCTCCACGAATGTCCTTGCACTATCGGTGTTCACTTCGTTAAGTTCTGTGCGAATAGCTGCTCTCTTGATATTTTTTAAAAAAGAAAATGTGTCTGTGTCATCGCATAATCAAGAATGTATTGGAATTTACGTATTTACCAAATGTGCGGATTTGAACCCGTCTCTGATTTCCGTGAATCACCGGACTGGCGCTTCTATCTCTTCCGTGTGAGAGTGCGGGGGGCGACCTCTGAATCAATAGGCGCGCCTGATAGCTCTCAGCCCGTCGGCCGGATAGAACGGCGTCGGGAAATAAGAACCCGCCCCCGCCTGCTTCGGGAGGCTGAACGCCGCGCCGCCTGGCCTGATGCGTTGAAGGGCTGCCATCTCAACGCGCCCTTCGTGCCTAGCCCACCTGCCTTACTGTAGTGCTGCTTCTGACAGCTCGCTTCTCTCGCCAAACCTAAGTAGAGGCGCATGTTAAGGTTCTGCTCCGACATCCGCCTGGTGCAGATAGGAGGAACCACGGACAACTATCTATTCAAAATAGCCGGTTGCTATAATTTTCCTTGAGACTGCGGCTGAATTTAATCAGTTATATCAGTATTCTCGAAAATCTACCACCGTCGGGACTGGAATCTAGAACTTAGCCGGTCTCTCGCCTTTGTGAATTGTACTGATGTTATGAAATAAGTTAGTTTTTATATTTCCAAAGTGTAAATAATTTACATTATTAGTATTGTTGTTTAGTGAACCCGGCAATGCTTTGCTCTTCCAAAGTATTACTTCACCAGCTTCCAGTGACGTGATTGTTGATTACGTTTTACGCTACTCTGAAAAACTTTTAATAGATGAAAAATTTTCCCCGCAAGTATGCGTTTCTCCTATAATCTGGTACAGACAGGTTTGTCAAATATCTTATTGTTAAAACGTTCTCCCTCAAGTTCGGGCATGCTTTCGCTATGACACTGTCTTGATAAAATTTGTTTTACTTGACCGAGATAATGTTTAAGTAATCATTCCTGCTGATATTTTACAATTGCAGGGGTAGCGTATGCAGCAAAGACGCGCTTAATACATGAGAGTGTGGCGGGTTGCGTAGAGCTTCTGTTCAGGGATGCTTCAGTGAAAACGTATAAAAACATACTCCCATTTTGCGTCTATGTACGACAGACATACGCACATTCCATTGTACTATGCTTATATTGTACTATGCTTAGCGCAAGAGCAAGGAATAAGTTGACAATATTTAATCGCACCGTAATGGACAAACAAAAACGAATAAACGTTAAGTTGTGTGATATATATATAAAATATTAGATGCTATTTTATTACATTTATTAAGTATGTAATGTAATGATAGAGTATGCATCATTTAGTACTTACAAATCATTTAGTATTTTGTATTTCCCCTCCTGTCTATTACTATTTGAAGAATAAATCTATCTTTCGTCTTCCTTCTCTTCTCGTCTCTTCTAGAAACGTTTGCTTCCTCTTGACCCAGTCCCTTGGCGGCGTTTCGTGCCCCCCTAACACCTCCCCCCCCCCCGCTTTGCGTCTGTGAGTCCGGGAACTCCAATTTCGTGCGTGGGTTCGCAGCCCGCGAGCGGGAAGGAGTTTGTAACCGGGCGAACTGATAAGTTAACGTCTACGTCAAGTGCTGTTTCTTCTTCGAAAGAAAATTTTAACCCTGACGTACCAAGTTCTCGGGGAAACACCACGTGGTATATTAAGTTTCAGGAAGCACTTAACTCTTAAAATGTGGAAAGTGCAGAGGGGAGCGTTCGCGGCAAACTGCGCGTTTTGTGTGAAAGTCTCCTCTTTGAGCAAATTTCCCTCCGGCTAGGAAAAAGTGTAGCACAACTCCCATTATTCTCTTTTTCTAGAATATTGCATTCGAAAATCATTCTTTAAATTGTTAAAAATGTGTAATTTATGTAACGCAAAAACGTCCAGAAAAAAACTTCTTTCCTGGTTGTGTAGGTCTCCAGAGGATCTTGTGACACAAAGCATAAGGAAGTGTTGAAAGTTTTAGTGAGCTGCGAAGAACTGAAATATGGAAAATATTCCTGTAAGTTATTAAATTCAAAATGGCAGAAATCTGGTAACTGTAATTCAAACACAATTTCTGGTTTTCGAAGGCGCCGTCGGAGCACATCATCTTCACAAAGCCAGTTTGGTATACGTCTACTCTTGGTTTACAAATAACTATTTCGTAATAGGTTGTTCATCCTTAATAAGTCTATGTTCATCTGAAATAACTTGCAGATATTGTGAGGGATATATTTTTAATAAACAAAGAACTGGGCATAGAACTGTTCATGTAATCTCTTAGATCCTAGTAAATTGTTTTAGAACCATGAGTAAAATATTGGAAATGAAGCTTATAATTTTTTTAAATACCTTCATTTCGAAAAATCAGGAAGGAAAATATTTGTTACTTTGTATCTAAATTGACCTTATTCAAATGTCAAAATGTCTATGTTTGTCAAAAAAATTATGTAGTATCATAAGAAGTAGCGCACATTCTTCGTTTGTTCACACAGTCGAACTACTTCACTTAACATTTGTGAGTTTTTTAATTTAAAATTGAAGTATTAAAATACACTAGCTGAAACCCTGCGATTATATCGCACAAAAGGAAGAGCTATAAAAACATTACAATAGAAAAGTAGTACTTATGCACTATACAGATTACCGAAAGCCCCATTTCATATCGACCGGAACGTGTACTCCAAAACTAATAAAAAAGGTAAGTTTACACATTCTGGAAGAACAAATCACTACTCAATGTGAACACACAATTAAATACGTTTCTATAATTACAATGGAAATGTTCTATATATACCAACATCTCTGTGTTGTGATTTTGCTATCCACTTTAACTTGAAACGGTAATGCATTATACACAAATAAGATCATTGAAAACTTTTCGTTAAGACCGACTGGCGTCAGAAGATTGGTCATCATTTTGTTTATACACACACATTAATCAGTGCATTTCAAAGAGTCAATTTGGAACTTGTTATTCGCTTTGACAGCTATAACCTCATGATGCAAGAATATCCTATCACAATAATGACGACACGAGTCTCCTTTCGATTGCAACTCTTTAAACAAAACTACCAACCATACTTCAATTGTTTTGTAGTACGTCTTAAATATGGCGTAATGAACAAATCACGACAGATAAGCTTTCATTGTATGCATGCCAAAATTCAGAATATTATTTTTGCAGTTTCGTGTCTTTTAGGACTGAAAACTAAAATTAATGCAGAAGAACAACACTGTATAACTTTATGTAAACGAGTTTGTACGTACAGTCTCGTAAATAGTTGTTAAAATTAATAACAAGTACATTTTTTCGAAGTGTTGCGTTGTGGTTTTATCATCATTTACAATAATTACGTGAATTTTTGAAACACTAGACAAACGCAAGAGAAAATGTAATTTTTGTAAAATAATGTTCATGAGCTTGAAAATGTCCAATATTTGCATTTTTTCAAAGCGTCATGCTAACTAATGTGTTTCTTTTATTTCAGGTGAGTACTTGTAAAGCTGCATTTTCTTAAGTTAGCAGATGCTTGGGTAAGTTTTCGTTTTTCGGTTAATATTTTTAGAAAAGTTTCAAAATCTAAAACTGATTGAAAACCAGTCTTTGTCTATACATCTTCAGTTATTTAAATAATCGTTGTTACTTTCTAGAGTTTTACCTGTGTTCATTGGCTAACCCTTTACCATTAGTTGGACCAGAGTTAATGGAGACGTTCATGCTCCGATGCATATGGGATAGCAAACCCCTTCGGTTTCAATTGGGAGGATCAATATTAATGGTTCATCCTACGTAGCATGGACTAAGAGCACCCGACAGACGTATCAGGCTGTGATGGAATCGGCGTTCTGGGACACACGTCGAGAACATACCGACATATATCGCTATCACTAGGCTATTCACTTCAGAGATATTTCAGCTTGAGTTTACATGAGTTACCAACTAATGAATTATTAAGGTCGGATCTTTAAAAGTTTTAAAGCTGTTACTTTTGAAGCAAATTAAGGTAAATAACAATAGTGCAGATCACTCGTTCATAGTCTTTAGTGATATGCACCACTAACTCATTAATATAATATAGCATTAATTGGTAACTCAAACGATTATGCATGTAATTACATATTTTGAAGAGAGAGGAATAGAGAGAAATATTTCCACATGAATTTCAACACACAATTGTGTCTAATACTACTGTAGCAATAAGCTCAAACCATATTTACTTTTACAACGTTTATATGACGTTCATAGATCCAAATAGTAGATATCTTCGCCTCCAAGTTTTTCAGATTGTGACTGGCAGAATTTTCTGCTGTTTCCTTGCAAGTTATGAACGAACGTAGCCGTATCTGCGCTGTTCCAGTAGCGCGAACCCTCATCGCGACTGTTTCCATGTAGCACAATCTTTTTGTAAGGCTCCCTATTGATGTAACACAGTCGCCAACGTCTGCCAACAGAGTCATCGCGAAGTCTTAGGCTCTCCGACAGACGTCAGCGAGCTCGGACTGCCAGCCTGCCGATAGGCTCCCGCGCGAACGCCCGTAGTGGCCGGCCACCAGAAACACGAAGGTAATGAACTCGCGCGAAGGCGACGCAGATGGAAGAAGGCAATAAGCACGAAAATATAGACCTGTTTTCCAGCGAAGGAATATTTTTACCGCGGGGGAGTGGCGGTGAGGGAAGCGGCCTAAAAAAGAAGCGGCGGCGTCCTCGAGGGAGCGCTTCGATCCGATGTCCTCACGCCGAGGGGACGTGCGGAGGGGAGGGCGGGGCGACGCAACCCCTTCGGCAAACATGGCGAGGAGGGGGAGCGGACACAAATGAAGCGGCGGCTCCGCGGCCTGTCCCCCGTCCCCGTCCCCATCCCACCCCCACCCCTGTCCTCGTTGCGCCCTCGCGACGCGAGGAAAACAAGCGGCTCAATCAGCCACGCGCCTCCGCCGGGCCGCCGCGACGCCCCTGTGCCGTTGACGCTTTTGCACCGGTGCGCTGGCGACCGACATCCGCGCCTACTTGCTTCAACGGGGCCGCTGCCAGGCGTCCACCATCGCCATTCTCTTCGTCATAATGGTCTCAGTCAGCGTTATCGCAGTTAGCACCATAAACACGGTCGAGTTCCAGAAACACCATATTCGACAACATTACTGTTTTCGTAATGACTACAACTTCACGGCTGACGCGCCTATCGCCATTGCCATTAGCTGTAAGCAATGCCGGGGTTAATATGGGTAGTTATTAAATTTTCCATCCCATTCTTCATTCGTGAATAGTATCCCAGAAGTATCCGTGAAGAATAGCCAAACGTTTTAGAAAGTCACTTAGTAGAGAGCAGTGGAGTTATCTCACCAACAAGTTATAAATTGGTAGTTAAATAATAATGCTAGTGATCAAAATGAGAAACATAGCGTTGCATTTGCCTGATCATTAAGAACTTAATACTAACTTTATGCAGAAGGAAAACCCTTCCTGTTACCCACAAGGAACGACGCATTTATTCGTACTATTAACAAATGTCAATATTAAAGTGAACATTACATATGTACATTCAAATAGTGAGGATTTTGTTAATCTGATAACTTCAAGTTTTCTTTCACTTTCTATACACGCTTCGCATGTGAAAAATGCGTTTTCAAATGCCATCTTATTCAATGATTTCTCTCATCGCCAGAAGCCTACATCTGCAGCGTGAAAACATTTTTTGCCCTATTGAAACATTCCCTTGTCGCAGAATCCGACGAGAAACTTGCTTGAGACCAAGACGCAGTCCATCTCTCACGGAGAACTGTGCGCCTCTAGCGCGATCCAGTGGGCTCTCTTCGAACCAACGCGTGTTCGTCGTTCTTTTGTTTTTGCTGTCGGATGACGGATGGCGGTCATTTCGTGACTCCGTCATTTGCCACCGAAAAGTTCTAACCCTCCGGGAATTACACAGTAGCGGTGCCCTGCTGACGTATGACGCTCCATTTCGTAAACGATTGCGCGCGTATGCCAGTGATCTCGGCCCCTTCGCAGTTTCCCTCCGTACGTTACGTAATGATAGTGCAAGGCAAACAGTTACCAAGTTTCAAAATCCACCTAATGTTTTGCCTTTTTTTAAGACCTCCGCCTATTAAGAAATTTGTTTAATTTTGTTTAGATGTTTCGATTTTGGCGCATTCCAAAATTTCTTCTGTACTACAGACCTCAAGGGACAAGGAGTGTGTGGAACACCCACGGAAACGTTGTAGTGGTGTGTTTTAAAACCAGCATTAAAATACTGGAGACCGGAACAAACACATTGATTTAATTCCTGGAGTTGGTGATGCTAATGATGATATCACTTCCAGAACATCATTTAAGATTTGTCATTCTGACGAACATTAAGAGAATGAAAATAATTTGTAAATAAGAGATAAATACAGGATTGGTTCCAGTTTTTTGTTATGCCGAAATTCAATCCATTCTTTGATGATAAGAAGAATAAGGAGATAAAAGAGAAAGAAAAGGAGGAAAGTAGCAATGTTTGTCTCTGGTGCGTCACTATGGAACACAAAACTTCTATTAAATAGGGACAGCTCCAAAAAACAAACAAACATGATATGCCATTCCAAATTATACTCCCAACCAATAACTTGCGGTAATGTGACGACTATTATAGTCAGTGATTAAACTTAGTTCGTCATGTCTAATGCAAACATTCCCCTGATTGAATTCATCCCCGTGTTACTCTATATGCTTGAATCACATTTGAATAGAATGTTTATATTTATTCGGGGAATTTATTACCAGCTGTGACGTGGTTTCCGGAAAGGCTGCCTCTGATTACTTCTCGAAATCGTAACTTTTTGGTTCAAAGACCGCGAATAGACTTATTCATGCTGCCCAGGTCCCTTTTCTGGTCAGGAAGCCTCCAAAAATTGTCCGGTCGAAATCCGGCATGAGCAGACACACACGCGCCAAAGAGCCTGTACGTCACATGCGTGTGGGCGGCTGAAAGAAGAGACCGCACGGTGGGAAGCCTAGTGATCGCTGAGCCTTTTTTAGCTGCCATCCCTCTCCATTGCTTCCCATTACGTCCCGCTCCCGCCCTCTCCTGCTCGTCACACTCCTCCCCCCACTTCTCTCCTCCCGGTTCTCCTGCTCCGCTTTACCCCCGCATCTCTACCACTGCTTCTCCCCCTTGCCGCTTCCCCCCAGTCTCTCATCTCCCAGTTATCCCGGCTCACTTCACCCCGTAGCTTTTTCCCCGCTTCTCCCTCTTCCCCCTTCTCCCCCCACCTGCCACTACTCCATCCGTTTCTCCCCGTCTCTCCCACGTTTCTGTCCCATTTCTTGCCTGCTTCTTCCTCTCATCGCCCATCATCCTCCAGACATCATCCCCGCCCCTCCAAGAGCTTTCCCCCGCCACTTGCTGCTCACTTCTAGCCCCGCTACGTCCAACACCAGGTCCATTACCGCCCCGCAAACTCCCGCCATAACCGCCTTGCCAGGTCCTCTCTTGCCACGATCATCGCCACACCTCTACTTCCTCCGTTACGCCCTTTGTAGTCGAACCGCAGGCTCCTGCATCACCACGTCGCTCCTGTCTTTCCTCCAATCTTCACCACGTCACACGCTCGCCCAACCTTTTTCCACCCGCGCACTTTCCGCTCCGCCCTCCAGCGAGACTCCGCTTCCCGGCCTCGCCCCCTCCCCTCCCCATCCCCTCCCCCTGCGCGTTCCCCTCGCGGCTTTACTCTCTCAGGGCGCGCGCGCGATTGATCGTTGATTGAACGCGACGGCGAATTTCGGCGCAGCTGACGCGGAGGGAGGAACGTGGAGAGGCGGTCGGGATGGCTTGGGGGCGGGAGACAGAAGGCAAACCTCCGGAGCTGGAGATGACCGCGGCTGCTTCCCAGAGAGCACGCAAATGGTTGCGAGGCTTACAATTTAGATGGAGACCGCAAACTGTATTTCGGTGCATTAAATGTAAACGAACGGTTAAAAGTATCGTGGCGGCGAAAATAGAAAGTCGTTAACTGGCGAAGATCGTGGATCAGTGAGCGACGGTACTCTGTGTTAGAGCCAGCGCATTGCTTTTGGGGCAGAGGATCAAATCTTCACAACTATCATGTGACGTTTCGAGCGAACAAAGGGAATTTGAAGCAGCTTTAATCAAGGGTTTTTCCTGCATCATCCTACTATGTTATTTAATAATATCCCCCTTAATAAGTATCAGCGTCGTTACTATATATTCATCACAGTACCATTTTGGAAGAGAAAACAAAAGGACTTACTTCGTCCATAAAATATATTTTTCCTGAGACGCGGAGTATTTTTTTCAAATAGAGCAATAGTGCATACTGAGTTCTATAGACCGATACATATTGTAGAAATTTTTGTTAAAATAAGTTTCTTGATGCTTTTGGTCATCTCTTGAGGTGTAACGTATATTGTATCAGTGCTATTTTCTTAATATATACATTGAAATATGCTCTTAAAAATAAAGTATTAGAATTCATCTATGTGACTTCACGGTGTTCGTACTCGGCACGGAGTAGAGATTAATTTATCGTATGAGATTATGTGTGGGAGACTGTTCTTTCACAGTTGTTCCGCACCTGAGTTTTTTGTTTACTTACGCTTCCTTGAAATACTACCCCCGAATGGGAATCGTTATCGAACACGCGCACCTCGCGGGCGATCCTATAAATGTGCCTAGGTTTTTACTCTCGCTTTCTCCGCCAGATGTCGGTCCCTGTTAACCATATCCTCTGCTCTCTGGTAGGGAGAAAGTGAACTCTTGTTGGGGCGGGATGTTGTCGGAGAGATTTAATTTTGCCGAGCTTATCGTCAGGGTTCTTTTACATGCCACAAGAGTGATTTAGCTACTGTGAACTTTGCGCCCTTCGATAATCCGGGCATCTGCCGGGATCGAAACCGCGCACTGAGGTTGTAGGTAAGCAAGCTAACCCATCTGAGAGTAGAGAGAAAGTTATGTAATGCTGTGCGAAAAAAACGGTGAATTTTGCGGCAGAAAAACTCTTTCGTTGCCTGGGCACTGTACTGGATAGATCCAGTAGCTAAAATTTGAAAAAAATCCTCTCACATGGTTTTTCCAGAACCCGTTTTTTGAGTCCTTAATATCCAAAAATCGAATGAAGAAAACGTCTGCCTGTCCGTCCGTCTGTGAACAACGCTAGCAACTAAAAAAAGTCAACCGATTTTCTCCAAATTTAATATTTCTCAATCGATCTGGCTGATGTCGCGGACCTTTGAATTTGGAATAGATTTTTTAAATTTTTGAGTGTGCTTTATATGAAGTCCCTGGGACATTTTCTAAATTTAAAACAAATACTCCATTGTGTTTTGCATAATTTTGTTATTGGATAGTCTGAAGAACATTTAGAGAATGGTGCAGGTCTCATTGTCGTTAAAAACTTCGATTTTTCGAAAATTGCAAAAATTTAAAATATATTCGTCTTCCTACAACGACACTTGTGGACATGATAGTTTTCCTTTAATTAAATCTGTTCCTTAAAGATATATTTTGAAATAAGATTATGTACAATTCTTCTAAAATTTCAGTACTTTCCTCGTAATTTTGCGTGAAAATACGGATGAGAAAGTACGTGCGGTTTTAGCATCACTAGTTTTAATAATTTCTTAGAGTTTACCACGTTTGTGGATTAATTTATTTCTGTTGCTAATAAAACATGGTACGTGCTACTGTAAAATACATACTCTCCAAAATATAAGAGAAAGGAACATCAATGAATTCGATTTTTCAATGTGCGTTGTGTGATTCTTCATTTGTCGGAAGTTCCTTACCCCTGGCGGCGGCGGCGTTGGTGAGTGACTGCAGCGGCGGCGGCGGGGCGGCGGCTGGCTTTGAGGCGGGCGAAATGGGGCCCCCGAAGTGAGGAAGAGGAGGTGGGCGTAACCACGAGGGAGGAGCTCGTTGCGGTCGTGCGCTGCCTGGGAGAAATTCTTTCATTAACCGGGAAGATCTCCTCTGGAACGTTCCATTTATTTCGGGGAAGGAACGCGTGGTCGGCCCTCGGGGAGGGCACTGGCGGAAGGGGAAGGGCAGGCTGCGGTGAGAGGGGGGAGGATTGGGACGGGTGGGGGAGGAGGAGGAGGAAGAGGGGGGATGAGAGGCAGACGCTGGGCGATAACGAGGCTGCCGATCGTTTCAATTAAAGTTTCCGAAACGCGCCTTGCAAAAATAAGACTGAGAAGAGGAGGATAAAAAACAAAAGGAAGTAGGTGGTCGCCTCCGGTGAAAGAGTTATCTGGAAATGTAAAGTAGTATTGAAAAAGTGGAACAGATAGATCAGCACAATTTGGCTTTTCCTTCTGCCCGAAGGAACTTCGCCGCCGATTCCGTCTATCGTTTCGCTCCTGAGTAGAAGCAGGATTTTTTTTCGACTGATTAATTACGCCATCTGCGGAGATTGTAAAACGCGAGACCTAAGAATTTTGGTTCGTTGCTGGTGGTTATTTCTGTGCGTGCTAAACGTTATAGACTTTAATTTTCTTAGGGGGGAGGAATATTGATCAGTTAAATAATGAAATCGGTTTCCAATAAGTGGCAGGAATATATTCTTTTATGAAATTAATATCTCTTCTGAAGTGCTAGAAATGCCATTGCGAGAAGGCATACTCTGATTTAATGTTCCAATTTCGTAAAGAAAAAAATATTGATAGTAGTTTTCTTTAGTATTCTACCATTACGCAATCATATACTGTAATATTAAAGAATGCCTAAATGTTTATAAAAAAGTTTTAAAAACGAATTATCCTAAAGTCAAAGTACTTGGTAGTGCACGAATATTATATTGTAAAATTTTACAATTTTATAAACTATAAAAATATTGCAAAACAGATTTAGGATCAAACTGGGTGACTTTACGCGGTTATGTGAAAAGGATTTTCATAAATACTATTTATATGGTTATATATTATATTGTTATTATACGTGTACTACCAATCATAACTTCAGTTATGCAACTAATTATAGTAGTCTGTTTACATAGTGTATGATTTGGGACAACTGTGTGCTAATTATGTTATTGTCCGAAATGTAGGCTTAGTGTGGCTTAAATATTTTTCATGTGACACGCAATTGAACTGCAATTAATTCACACTCAAAGAACAAGAAATATAAGTCTGAAATGTGTTTAAGAAAACTAAAATTTTGATGTGATTAAAATTTCATATCACCTATCTTTTCTATTTTTTCTCGTTGCAAGGAATTTGCGTTTTCACGAAATGTCGCTTGATGTAATTTCATAGGCATTTATCATGTTTGTATTACATGCTACAAACACAAATTTACGTCGGTTTGAATGACCTGGATTCGATAAAGGCTTTGGACAAACTCTTTCGAAGGTCAACCCATTAGCAGTTTACGACAGCAAACAGCGTGGCAAGTCAACGAAGGGGCTCGTGTCACACGTACGTTTTTAAAGCCGAACTCCGCACTTCCAGGAAATGTCCGTGTTCATTGGAGAATTGCGTCGTTAACATCGTATCCCTCAAGCACGAAAACGCTGCATGAAAGCATCGGCGTGAAATGTACCGTTTGGGCGTGTGCTCTAAGCGCAGCGGGCGGGTGTTCGTTTTCTTCAAATAGTACCCTTTGTTAAACGCGCGTTAAGCTCGCAATAAAAGTCGGAACGTTGGCACTCGCCGGAGCTTGGAGCGGTTCGCACATCGCGTTTCGCTGGTCGCACGGCGGGAGACCGTAGAAACTACTGCTGCAGCTACTACCAGGGAAAGAGAAAGAGAAAGAGAGTGAGAAGTTGGAGACGGGGAGAGGGAGACGATCGACGTCTGGCGATAACGCCGACGGTGCGAATTGCCGGTACTGCTGGTAAGAATGCGGGCAGTATGGGTCCCCTGTTGTGAGAACTAGGCTGCCTTTCTCTCTTCGACACGCCTGCTTATAGTTGTTTGCAGCAAATCCGTTCTGCGACCGACACAACACAGCGATTACGAGCTTTATTCTGCCTGCGTTCTTACAGGCACGCCCTGACTCATTTTTCTGTTAGAATGTGTTTTAGATTAAATGACACAGTCTTGTGGCAAAGGAGGCTGGGAATAAAATTGAGATAATGAAAGATAAATCTATAAATGCAACAATGTCCACAATTAACATTAGTGGGATTCCACAGCACGTACTTTCTTCGCACACCATTGGAAACAGTTATATAATATAATAGTACTGCAGCCACTAGCATTTCAGCCAACACTTAAAAAAGTCAAAAAAAATTAAGCACCTGGGGTGCATATCTGCCATTATTTTGATAGCCAGGAACATAGTTATATCTTACTTCTACAAATACAAAGTATTTTTTTCCAATTTTTTAAAATACAGAGATTTTATCTAAAATTGTTCCTTTGCGTTCTTTATTAACGTAGTTTGTTCTATTCGAGGGACAAAATAAAAAAAATCGATCCGTTTTTTGAGAAAAATTAATATAAAAATTTGGGGCCAATTTTGACAATTCGTAAAATGTTATTGTTTCAGATAAAGGTCCCCCAAAATACAGATCTTAGTTTTAAATTCAAGGGTCGCGACAAAAGCCATATCAAACGTGGAATATTATATTAGGTAAAAATCGTGCTTACAGTTTAACCACTAGCATTGTTCAGAGATGGGTGGACCATGCTTTTGCCGAAAACCAATTTTTCGGTATTAAGATCCCGCAAAATATTTTTATGATTACACTACGTGTTAAAAGTAGTACTTTTTCGATCGAAATTTTTCAGCCGGAGTTCGGCTTTTTTAGGGTGTCACAATACGAGTTTCTCTCGAATCCCCGTCGAAAAATCGCCGATTTTTGCCGAAATATTACAATGTTTACTTTGTCTATACTATGTAAGTTGTATGCAACTGCCCCCGGAATTAAGCAATGTCAACAGCCTTCATCTTCTCGCGGCCCTCGTTGCCCTGGCCGTCCTTGCCGCCCCCGTTGCCCTCCCCGAATCTGTCTCCATCCTCCCTCTTCCATCGCCCCCATTCTCACGCTGTACCAACGCTCTCGCTGCGGCCAGGGCCGTCTGCTATCCTCAGCGCGTTCATTTATCTCCCGAAAGCAATGGAGCGGCTCGGGCGGCGGCGGCGGCGGCGGACGGCGCCTGTAGCAACGACGCAGCTCGATAGCAGCAACTATTTCATAGTGACAACTGGAGGCGGCGACAAGCGAGATAGATCCGCCGACAGTAAAAAAAATAGTGATTATATTTGTTTGGATTTACTTTGCGATCGACATTAGTAATGATAGCGAGGCTGGTACGTTGACAGCATGCATGAGCAACGTATGTACTGCCCGGCAACGATGTAGGATTTGGGATATTTCATCCCACACGGACTTCTTGCATGGTGAGGGTCGGCATGTGTACTCTGAAATACAAGTACAATCGTAATGGATAGAGAGAATAAATGTAGAATATCGTGGTTAAAATAAACCATAATTGTTTCTGGGACATAAACATCACCGTTGCTTAAACACTTTAGGTACTTTCAGCGACACCCTGTATATTCATATGCAACGGTCCCTTATGCCTTGTAATATATGAAGAAATATATATTCAAAAATATTTACTTATATATATATATATATATATATATATATATATATATATATATATATATA